TCAGCCGCCATGACTACAATATAGAATGAATTGTTGAAGTTTCTGATGTTAAAGATTTTGATTAGAAAAATGTTTATTAATACATATCATTGTTCATTTGAACATCGACTTATTAATAACATTGTATAAATTAGATTATCATTAATATCAATTTGATATAATATTGTAATTAATTGTAGAAATAAATTAAATGTTTAATGCTTACCAACTACAAATCACATAACTACCCAGAGAGCTTACAAACGCCTCAGGGTATTACTATGGTATATGGTGATAAGATGTTTGTCCGTCGGTTATAAACCGACAGCTCCAAACCACACCAGCACTAATAAATATGTTTCCTGTTTCTATAAAGCAAAATAATAAAATTTTATTAGTCAGAGTAGTTTCAAATAAAAGAAATTTTAAATATTATACCATTCAAGAACCAAAAATGAATTCAAAGTAAAAATATTATAACCTTACTATGACATAATAGAACAAACACATAAATAATATAATTTTTCGTAGACAAACACATTGAATGCTTCATAAGTTTCCTTTGTATGCAATGATATATCACTTATGCTTCTTGAAAGTTATCATTTAGTACTGTTATTAATAACATTTTATTACCTACATCATGCAAAAATATATGTACCAGAGAATATAAAAAAGAACAATACAAAATTTAACATATTACTTAAAAATATTTGTTATGTTTAGCAACAACAAAACTAATGCATAATTCTGAAGTCAATTAATTTGTTTAAATCATTTCATAATTTGACATTATCAACAAATATACATTTGTTTCAATAATGAAACACTTTCAAATACACTGTATAATACAAACTTAAATCAACTAAGAAACATATAAATAGAAACATTGTCAGATTTAATGTGAACAGTAAGATACAAATTTTGAATATCAAAAATATTTATAAACTTATATATGTTTGTATGCGTGCGCGCGTGTGTGGGTGTGTTGTGAGTGGTACATGTATAATATGTACATGCATATGTGTGTGTATGTGTTACATATGTATATGTACATAATACAAGTAAGACATTAATATTAAATAGAAAAATATTAAAAATATGATTTTATGCCGCTATGTTAGTAATTTGTAAAATACACTATAAAAAAATCATCTATTCGTATAAAAATGCATATAATAATATTAGAAGAATATAATCCAACGAAATATTTTGTAAACAAATTATGAAATAGAATAAATTAAATTACTGTCAACTGTATGGACAGTAGTAATTGTACGCGTGTAATTAAAATATTAAGAATATCAAATCTGAACGTGAAATTGACAAGTGTTATCGAAATGTAACACTCACGAAAACATAGTGCATAAACAAAAAGTGAGGCCAACGAGCATTACTAGGTTATAATTTGATCGCGATTTTCATAAAATTATACCCATCGATGAAAAAACCTATACCTTCAATATCAATTGTTTCGTCAATATTTCTTGAATCGATGGAAATGAATAAAGTAAACAATTTTGGTTCAAGCCTTACCACTCGCGAACTACAATTAAAATCTTTTAGGCCGTAAGACGGGGGCACAACTTCTATACAGAAGAAAATAGGTTATAGAATACTTTTTTCAATCAGACGCGAATTGTTGATTGTTGCATTATTCGAAATTCGGTATTCCGATATAGAAAAAGTTTATTTTGACAATTTCCATAATGATTTTCGGCAAAATAGTCATCTAGAGCACTGGATATCGGGGGGGCCTCCATTTTGTACGTCGGGGGAGGTGTACGTGAAGTGGTCTCAAGCATGCTCAAGATAGACCGTCAAAAGTCTGAACATTTTTATTTCGCAGCTTTCCTATATGTTCCACAGTCGAGTATGTTTACCAAAACAAAGTTAAAATTTAATAATAAGCAGCACACTGACCAACGGGCCTCACTTCAGTCTTTGCACAGAACGATTCGATACCGTATGAACACAAGAAAATTTTAACGTTACCCCATTTCTTTCCAACTTCGTGCGGGATTTCTTGCGTCTGAAATGCACGCAGCCACACCACTGGAGCACTAATTTTAATCTAAAATACGCCGCGCAAGTCTTATTTCACTTTCTGCACACAACGCGCGGTAGGAATCACGAAAAAACTCGACATAATCGGTAATATAAAGGGACAAGTCATAAAACGCCATGAACAATAACAAGGAGCCGCCATTTGCAATGCGAACAACTGACATGCGCAAATCAATCGCGCGGGGCACGCTGGGTATTTGAGAGGCGCCATCTTGCCAATCATATTAACATTGAAATTTCCTAACCTCTTGCAGCTTATATTCATTTAGTTCAATGATTATTACTATATTTATGGTCAATTTACTGTAATCTGTACTTTCTTAAAGTTGCCTGTTAGAAAAATTTTTTTTAATATAAGAATACACCTCTTAACATGCTACAAAATATGTTTTTATTTTCATGAAAGATTCATGATACGTTCCTGGATTAATTTTAACAAAAAA